CTGCCTCTCAGCGGCCCCGGGGCGGGAGCCCGGGCCGTCGCCTCCGAGCCGCCCCCCGCCTCTGGGCAGGTCCCTACCGCGCGCTCGGAGGGCGAAGGACGGAAACGTGGCTCCTTCTGCAGGAACGCTTATGGAGGATTTGTCCTCTAAGGAGGACTGACGTGCCGCTGTTCCCTCAGCCGCCCACTTCTAAAGCCCCGTTCAACCATTTAATCTCACAGCCGAAGGGGCCTCGACGCGCGAAACCTAACTGAAGTCTCGGGTACCGTGCTTTCACGCTGGTGGCGTGAAATGCAACTTAACGTTTCCTGCGCCCTGGGATGAATTAGCTGGAAGAACTTGGGTATTTTGTACTAGCACGCTTTATTTGGACCGTCGCCGAGCGGTCTCCAGGCGAAGGTGTGCAGGGTGGCAGCGTATCACTACGCCAGAGGTATCGTGGGCTTTTTCTGAGGAGCCAGAACTGCCCCAAGTCGTCAAAGCCACGAGGCTTGACGCAAGCCTTGCTAGCTATGAGGAGCACAGCAAACTTCTTGGTTCCCATGGGAACCAGTGTAACAGTACCCTTTAAAAGCAGTGCTGGGAAGAAACGTTATGGAAAGGAACCTGGTATAGGGAACAACAACCGGAGGAATCGACGTCTGTGCCGGTACAGAGAAAAGCATTACTAAAACGGTTACGTAGTTGTAGAGTCATCAAAACCACGTATCTTGTTTCCACAAGGAAGGGAGATACTTCCACAGAAAGATGTGCTTGAGCACAGGGGAAAGGATATAGCGTAGAAGTAAGACAGTGCACATTTTATTGCAGATAGGTCACATTTTCATCAGTTAAATAAGGTAAAATGAGTAACTTCAGCCAGACAAATCCACTTATTTCATAAAAGGAGTCTTATTTAAGGTGTAACAAAATTTTCCTGATAAGATGGTCTGATTGACTGAAGCACACCCAGCTATTCATTTTTTTTACTGCACCAATAATCAGATTTCTTAAAAAATGAAAACCTTTGGTAAAGTACACACACAGTTTTAAGACGAACAGGATCAATGTTCTATTCTTACTGTGCTGGGAAAAATAAGTACAGCTCTATAACTGCTGTGATACCTAGAAGAGGTTTAATTAGAGTAAGTAAGTGAAAGAATTTTAAAATAAACTTTTAAAGCAAATCTAAAAGAAACATACTAAGTTCAATGTCCCAAACATATTTAACAATGAGCAGAAGACTGGTTGTTCCACAGGTATTCTAAATTAGTGACAATGAATTAGTCCGCACATCCTTTGTCCAGTCATTACAGATTCCAAAATGGAACGTAATTTTTTCAAACCAAGACTTCTGAATTTTCATATCCATACAATATTTAAGAAATGTCTATTCCACCATATAAAAAAGCTTTAATGTACTACAAAGTTAAAAACAAAAAGAAAATGACACAAGCTAAAAGTAGAAAAATACACTGTAAAACATTTATATTTTGTTCCTTACACTGATCAAGATATAACAAAATATTTTAGATTAGACCACTTTCATAAATTCATGGCATTTTCAGAAGAAGACAGTTATCGACTCAACAGTCACTGGTTACCCACTAGCCAGCATCCAGTAAAGATGTCTGACCATCGCAAACATCCAGTATATTTTAAGTTTCTAGAAATCCTGTGTAGACATTAAGCTTTACGCTTACTAGAAGAGTCCAAAAAATAACAGAACTATTCTAAGTTAGGTTTGACAGTCAGTCAGCATCCCTCCTCTGTGTAGCAATCCGCCAATCTTTTGTACGGAAAGACCTTGTGGATTTAGGTTGCCCCGAATGTGCAGCAAGGACCTGTGTCGGCTCTGAGGTGAAGGGGACAGTCCTAGCACACTCTTCCACTTTTGCTGCCTTCTCACTTGCATCCCTAAAATTCACATGAACCGTGATACTGAAAAAGCCAGAGATGGGGGGGGGAGGGGGGAATCTGAAAAAGAGGTATTCTCTAATAAATATCGAAAAAGAATACATTTACACATAATGGTGCTGAACCTAGTTTTAAGCCCTTATGGCCATGTTTTTCTTTCCCCGTGCAGCACAGGTGTGTGCTGCAGGCAGGCCTGCCTCTGACCAGCAGGTGGTGGTGATCTCACAGCAATAACTGCAACATCCTCCAACATCGCCTCCTTAGGCTTTAAAAAAAAACAAACAAACAAACAAACCAACCACCCATACACTCATAGTTTCATTTGGAAAAATGTATTTGCAGCATCTCCCTAACGTTGTTGCCACCGGAGTAGGAAACCGCTGCTTTTATAGAGCTTGTCTGGATTAGACATAAGGTTGCAAATATGGTGTAAACAAGTTAGCGGAGGGTCTGTAGGTAACTGTAGAAGATCGGATGGCTATTAAGAAGCACGCTCTTTAAACTGGTATTAGAAGAAAACCAGATTCCACTTCAAATAGACATGTCTGTTACTATTAAAATCTAATTCATATACATGCATGTATAAATACATCCACCCATGCATTCAAACCCAAGCACGTGGCACTGCCATCGGTAGCCTGTAAGACTGCTTCGATTTATACCAACTAAAACAAATCTGTGTTCTCACTTTAGGGCTGGGACATAAACCAGGTTTTGCACTCGGGCTTTCTCCTGACAAATTTGGCACTGCATGACAGTATTACGTCTAACTCCAGATGCCACGTTTCCTAGAAAGCAACAATTTTCTGCACCTGTGAGGTCTATGAGAATATCAGCGCTCTGTTTTGTGCATAACACGTTGCAAGAGTCAACTGTCCCAATTGGCACTTAAGACTGAATGGAGAGTTGCAGGAATTGCTACTAAAGTGTAATGACTGTTCCATCCTCCTCGATACCTCCTCTGGGGATAACCAGGCTGTGTCGGGGATCAGTTTTTAAGGAACTGAGTAATTTGTGGATGTTGCCGTTGCTTTCTCGGCCAGAGTTGTTGTTGAGCACCAGGTCCCTTTGAAGTCTGTGGGTAAGGCTGCTGCCATTGATTCGAGAGAGGCTACTGGAAGTAAGGCTGTGCAGTTTAGGAATGTGCTGTGGCTCCAGACCGCCCTCGATGACAATGTCAGCCTCTTCGTCACTCTCCATTTCATCAGGGTGGAAGTTCTGCAGCACGTGGGATGTAGGCAAGCTATGGTGACTAGCAGTGCTGTCTGTAGACTGGCCAGAGCTACCAGACATCCTACTGCTTCGAATAATATTGTTCCTCTGGTTTGCTGGCTTGACCGTGATAATAAGATTATGGCTGTTGGCAATCATCATGTCTGTGACTTGGTCGAGAGTCTTTCCTGCTACTTCAATGCCATTAACTTCCAGGACTTCATCATTCACAGCCAGCAAGCCTGTGCTCTCCGCTAAGCCTCCAGGAACCATACGAGAGATGAAGATACCGGGTACTTTTTCTAGTCCATGAGGAGTAACCCTTACGCTGGTGCCATCGCGAATGTAAAATCCTAAGGGTTTCTCACACCCGTGTCGATACAGCCTCACTCTCCTGTGCGTTTCAGGAAGAATGTCCACATCGATTATGGAAGACACTGGTCTAAAATCATGAGGCATGCTAATGTTAATGTGGGGACGCCGGCGAAGGTTGTCATTGCGGAGTGTCACCAGAGCCTTCTTCTTCCTCGATAGCGTGTTGGTCCCAAAATTACTGTAGTCCACTTCATCTGAAAGAGAAACAGTACCAATGTATCAATCAATCAGAGAATAATGCAATCTACAGGGCATTTTCTTCTTAAATCTGGTTCAGTGAAGCCACACTCCTAATAATATGGAAAAAATCAAATAAAGTCTTCCGCTTACTCTAACCATCGTTTCATTTTATGTCCATCAGCACATCATTCAGAATAAATGAGTTGTTTTCAATGACTACCCATATTTCTTCCATATTTTGAGGGAAAAAGACTTCTGATTCTCAACTCCTGTTGTCAGCTGTGCAGAATGCAATTACTTGCAGCCGCAGGCCTGATATACCATCTTAGATGTGAGACCATATTTTCAGAGTTGGACTGTGTTTTTACACATACATCTCAAGTGGGCAAGGAGCGTATACACATTCCTAACCTAAAAGTCTGAATCAGGGAGTATTTTAATATCCAATACACAGCCTTAACTGATAGCAGACCTTAGGTACAAACATGAAAGGAGGGTGTGAGAGAGTAGTTGGATATGTGTTTTTAGCCTAGCCTTTTTCAGTAGGGAATTTAATGTTAATACACAATCACAGAATCGTTTAAGTTGGAAAAGACCTTTAAGATCATAAAGTCCAACCGTTAACCTAGCACTGCCAAGTCCAGCACTAAACCATGTCCCTAAGCACCACGTCTACACGGCTTTTAAATACCTCCAGGGATGGTGACTCAACCACTTCCCTGGGCAGCCTGGTCCAACGTTTGACAACCCTTTCGGTGAAGAAGTTTTTCCTACTATCGAATCTAAACCTCCCCTGGTGCAACTTGAGGCCATTTCCTATCGTCCTATTGCTGGTTACTTGGGAGAAGAGACCGACACCCACCTCCCTACAACCTCCTTTCAGGTAGCTGTAGAGAGCGATGAGGTCTCCCCTCAGCCTCCTCTTCTCCAGGCTAAACAACCCCAGTTCCCTCAGCTGCTCCTCAGAAGACTTGTTCTCCAGACCCTTCACCAGCCTCGTTGCCCTTCTCCGGACACGCTCCAGCACCTCCACATCCTTCTTGTAGTGAGGGGCCCAAAACTGAACACAGTATTCGAGGTGCGGCCTCACCAGTGCCGAGTACAGGGGCACCATCACTTCCCTACTCCTGCTGGCCACACTATTTCTGATACAGGCCAGGATGCCATTGGCCTTCTTGGCCGCCTGGGCACACTGCCGGCTCATGTTCAGCCGGCTGTCAACCCACACCCCCAGGTCCTTTTCTGCTGGGCAGCTTTGCAGCCACTCTTCCCCAAGCCTGTAGCGCTGCATGGGGTTGTTGTGGCCAAAGTGCAGGACCCGGCACTTGGCCTTGTTGAACCTCATACAATTGGCCTGGGCCCATCGATCCAGCCTGTCCAGGTCCCTCTGCAGAGCCTTCCTACCCTCCAGCAGATCAACGCTCCCACCCAACTTGGTGTCGTCTGCAAACTTACTGAGGGTGCACTCGATCCCCTCATCCAGATCATTGATGAAGATATTGAACAAGACCGGCCCCAAAACTGAGCCCTGGGGAACTCCGCTCGTGACCGGCTGCCAGCTGGATTTCACTCCATTCACCACAACTCTTTGGGCCCGGCCGTCCAGCCAGTTTTTTACCCAGCAAAGCATACACCCATCCAAGCCATGAGCAGCCAGCTTCTCTAGGAGAATGCTGTGGGAAACGGTGTCAAAGGCTTTACTAAAGTCTAGGCAGATAACACCCACAGCCTTTCCCTCATCCACTAAGAGATATGCATCTCTCGGTACAGCACTTTTCTCTTTGGAATATTTTACTTCATTTCAGCTGAATTTGACAGCAATAAAAAGTGCTAAAAGCGCCAAGTACCAAAAGAGTTCTGTGTAAGCAAGCGGCCCAGTAGAAAGAGAAGCAGGGAGAAACAAACTGCTCTGCTGCCTAGTCCATATGCTAGGGATCACAGAACAGACACAGACTCACACATGTGCTCCTGCCCTTGAGAGGAAGATCCATGGGAAAGCAGCCTTTGTAGGGTCTACTGTTTAAGGAATTGTTTAAATATTTCTGTCTCTGTAGTGGTATCTCAAGGGCATGTGCAAAGTGATCAACTTGAAATAAGCCAAGTAATATGACAAGTTATTCCGTATAAGAAGCTTATGTTCTGGTTTGCATAAAAAATACTTAGTCATGAAGTTGTTAATGTACAAAATGCGTTACTGCATTTCACATTAAAAATACTGTGCGTATTTTAAACATGAAGCATGCACTAGCTGGAAAATTATTTAACTGGGAGTTTAAGCATGCAAACACTTTTCAGATAAACTAACAGACTTTCAGTTTATTCTACTGTTGAAGATGAGCAGCAAAATACAAAAGCACAATTAGAGAACTGCCACTAAGAAATTTTTTTTCTCTGACAAATTAACCCTGCATTGTAATGTTTGAGAAAGTAAGACAATACCTCTACCTGATAAAGGTTGAAGGAAAAAAAGTGTTAGTAAAAACAAGCTTGTAATTACATTTTTATTTCTTGCAAGATCTCATTTTCAAGTCAGCTTTCAAGGCATATTATTGGCAGACTTCAATTAAGTGACATTAAGTTACACAACTCAGAGGACACTAAAAACGTGCTAAGCAGCAACCTGATCTAACTGAGCCTGCTTGGAGCAGGGTGTTGGATTAGCTGACCTCCAGAGGTCCCTTCCAGCCTAAATTATTCTGTGATCCTACATAGTCCTTTGGGCTAGAAAAAATCATTTGAAGACTTCAGAAAGACTATTTCTGCATTCTCCTATAACTTATTTACACTGGCTATACTGACACTGAGGACATCACAAGGTATCTGGAAGGTCATCCTGAAGGAAAAGCTTCTGTGAAATAAAGATACTCCTTGGACAAGTTTGCCGTGTTTAACTTCACGCTCGTCTCTTGTCTTGCCTCCCAGGCCGTTCGGAGTCGTACCAACTCCAGAGGCCCTACTATGTTATTTGGACTGGTGAGGCACAGGACTGGAAGTCCTTAAAATCACCCAAACACAGGAAGTTCCCAACTGGTTCCTGGAAGTATATTCACAGCCAAGACAGTGACTGCGTGGAGATGGCAGCTTCTCAAGTCCACCTGCTGAGCAGAGTCAGCGCAGTGTCTACTCTTTTGAATGCACAAGCCACCTGCGGCAGCCAAAGCGAGGTATTATTCCTTTTCTTTCATCAACAGGATCACCATCATCTACATCCACCTAGACTTTAAGTTTTGATGGATGATTTTGAAGGTTGGCAACAAACATTTTTCCTTGTAAAGTATGAGTCCACAAGAGATGTCTTTCATCACCACAGTCTCAAACACTGTGCCCTGCTCACCCTCACAATTCACTGATAAATTCTTGTGACAGTCCTATGAAAACAACTTGGGGATTCAGATTTAGAATTGAAATTCTTCCTCAGTTGAAACATAGCACTGTAGAATAGTAGCACTGTACCTTAAAGCCCAAGACAACCTTTATCCCAAAATTTCAGTTTAAGATGGCAATTAAAGTTACATGTGGGTTTATGCATTTAAGACTGTCACTTGCAGTACTGGCAAACCAAACTCAAAACAAAAGCTGCATCCCTTAAAGATTCAGAAAATTAGGTTGGCGAGTGCAGTTTATTGCACTGCAGGTAAAATGAAACATATGCCCTAGTTATCCCTCTATTCCCTGAAAGCACCCAGGTAACTGTTCTCTCCCTCTCTCTTCATGTTACTGTATTAATACTGAATTACTTTAAGGCAGATTTGCAAAAGCTTTACCAAATATTTCACCTGGGAAGATTTGTTGACAACACTGTTTTCTTCCCCTTAAATTAACAACAACCCAGAGAGTTAATTCTCACAACTTGCAAGTTTGTGATGATCAGGTAGTAGTGTCACAGGAGAAGTACGATGGTCCTCCTGACACACGTAAGTCACTTCTGAAGCAGCTTCCTTTGGCTGAACCACTACGAGGGCAATGGCACAACAGAAGTGGTTCTTTTGTGCCTGTGACCTCCTCACCTGCACTCAACCCTCTAATCTGTCTCCCCAGATGATTGCCAGCATTCCTAACCTCTGAGCAGCTTCAAAACAACCACCTCCTTTAATAACAAAAAGCCCAGCTTACCACAAAAATGCTATCTTTTTTCCTCCAAACATGAACCAGGCAGAAGCAGGGATTACATTACAAGTGATATAGGCTACTTTCAGTGTTGGACCACTGACCATTCTTGGATTTAGTATTTCAGGGCTGGAGCACGTTAAAAAAAAATGAAGTCCGTGTCCTGTTGATGACTGGATTTTTTGTTTTTAAAAGAGTGTCAGGCATTAGTTTCCAACTCTGACCCTAAACAGGATTACATATGAGAAGGATGAAGTCCCAATTTTAACAGGTAAAACTGTTAAAACCTGTTATAGGTTGGAGAAATGAGAGCTAATTTGGAGAGCTTCTACAAAGAAATACCAATTAACTCTATTTTCTAGAAAAAGTTAAAGTACAGAATACCTGCTCCTTGACAATACAGGGATTATTACGTTATTTGTATTCAAGATGACCTGCTCGCTAGCAGTTACGCTTGCTTGAGACTTCACCTTAAAATAAAAAATTAAAAAAACCCAAACCCTGAACAAAACAGCCACACACACACCCCCCTGCTATTCAGAGCCACTACTCTTGCTGCAGGAATAAAGCAAAGTATCTCTACTGAAGTTTAACATCAGCTGTTGCTGTAGCAGCAGAAAGTCATCAATTCCTAGCACAATGAAAAAAAAAAATTCCTTCCTCACAAGGGAACTGGGAGAAGTCAGCCAACATCACTCCCTTTTATCAACTACGGGGTGGTCAAACGGTGGTATATTGCCTATTTCCAGTAATATACTGTTCAGCTGGCACATGTCAGACTAAAATGAAAACTGTATCATTGCATAATTTACAGTGACACACTTTTAATGAAGGTCAGTAACTTGTTCTTAGGTTTTGAGTTTCTCACCATATAGGATTGCAAGCAGGAATGCCACTTTAGCTAACG